CTGTTTTGTGATAGTGGCTGTCCTATCACGTATGTGAAGTTGTATCTCATTGTGGTTTTGATTTGCATTTCTCTAATGTTTAATGATATTGAATATATTTTCATATGCTTGTTGGCCATTTTGCGTATCTTTTTTGGAGAAATGTCTGTTAAGATCCGTTGCCCAGTTTTTAAGCAGGTTACCTGTTTTTCAGTTTTTAATTTATAGAAGGTCTTTATATTGGGTCATCGGGAAAGTCATGACATATTTTTCTGTTTTTCAATGCAAAAATGCGTCATGACTTTCCCGATGACCCAGTGTATTATAGATATTAACCCCTTATCAGATATGATTTGCAATTATTTTCTTCCATTCCATAGGTTTCCTTTTCATTCTGATGAATATTACCTTTGATGTGAAATTTTTAAGTTGGATATAATCTCCTTTGTTTTTACTTTTGTTGCATGTGCTTTGATGTATCCAAACAATCATTGCCAAATCCAGAGTCATGAAGCTTTTGCCCCCTCTCCCCCACCCCCATGTTTTCTTGTAGGTATTTTATAATTTTACGCTTTCAGGTCTTTAATCCATTTTGAATTAATTTTTGTATATGGTGTAATGATCCTATTCATTTTTTTGCATTTGGACATTCGGTTTTCACACCATTTGTTGAAAGATTTGTCTTCCCCACTGGGTAGCCTTGGCACCTTGTTAAAAGATCATTTGTCCAAATATGTGAGATTTTGTTTCTCAGCCCTCTCTATTCCACTTGTCTACATGCCTGTTTTTTGTGCTAGTACCACACTGTTTTGATTACTGTAGCTGTGTAACATATTTTAAAATCAGGAAGCATGTTGAGGATTATTGCATCTGTGTTTATCAGGGATATTAGTCTGATTGACTCTTGATAGGTTGTATATTTCTAGGAATTTATCCATTTTTTTCTAGGTATCCAATTTGTTGGCATGTAATTGCTCATGTAGTCTCTCATGATCATTTTGTTTCTGTGGCATCAGTTCTAATCCCTGTTCTTTTATTTATGATTTAAGTGATGTGTTCTCCTTTTTTCTTAGATATCTGGGTTAGTTTTGTGAATTTTGTTGATATTTTAAGATTCTAATTCTTAATTTTGTTGATTTTTTTTTTCTACTGATATTTTTGTTCTCTTATGTATTTCTGCTGTAATCTACTTACTTCTGAGTTTAGTATATTTTTATTTTTCTAGTTCTTTGAAGTATAATGTTAGGTTGTTGATTTAAGATCTTTTTTATTTTTTTACTTTTTATTTATTTATTTATTTATTAAAGATTTTATTGGGGAATTGGGGGGAGGGGAACAGACAGGTAGACAAGTTGCT